CCATACATTCATAAAGCTCCTCCCTTTGCAAGCATCCTTTTATGAAAAACTAATCCATCTAAAGCCCCTTTCACATTCCATGCAATTATATGGTTTTTTCCCATGTGGGTCTTATGTGAGGTAAGAGTACTCCTCCGAGCAAAGCTCATTCCACACCGCATGCATGTACGTAGCTTTTCCCATATGTACCCTGTTATGGGCAGTAAACTCACTGTACCATCTAAAGTCCCTTCCACATTCCATGCATTTATATGGTCTTTCCCCTGTGTGGATCCTGTTATGGGAATTCAGGGTACTGACCCGAGTGAAGGTCTTTCCACACTTCATGCACTTATAGGGCTTCTCCCCTGTGTGTTTCCTCTTGTGGAAAATCAGATAGCGGTTTTCCAGAAAGGTCTTTCCACACTCCATGCATTTAAAGGGCTTCTCCCCCGTGTGAATCTTCTTATGGGAAAGAAAGGAACTGCGTTCACTGAAACACTTTCCGCACTCGATACATTTATATGGCTTCTCCCCCGTGTGTTTCCTTTTATGGGAAAGGAGATAACGGCTCTGAACAAAGGTCATTCCACACTCCATGCATTTATAGGGCCTCTCCCCACTGTGGATACGGGTGTGGCAAATCAGATAACTGATAGTGCTAAAGCTCTTTCCGCATACCACGCATTTATGCTCCTTCTCTCGTGCGTGGGTCCTAATATGGGAAGCAAGGGATCCGCTTTGAGCAAAAGACTTTCCACACTGCCTGCAGTTGTACGGCTTCTCCCCTGTGTGGACTCTCTTGTGGCGAGTAAGAGAACTGCTTGTCGTGAAACCGTTTCCACACACCATGCATTTGTAGGGTTTCTCCCCTGTGTGGATCCGTTTGTGACTTGTAAGATGGCTGCTCTGAGCAAAGGTTTCTCCGCACTCCATGCATTTATATGGCTTTTCCCCTGTGTGGATCCTTTTATGGGAAATAAGTTCACGCTTTCCCCTAAAGTCCTTCCCGCACTCCATGCATTTGTATGGCTTCTCCCCTGTGTGGATCTTGCGATGGGAATTAAGATGGCCGATTCTTCTGAAGCCTTTTCCACATACCAAACATTTAAACGGCTTCTCCTCTGCGTGACTCCATTTTTGCGATGCAAGAGAAATATTTTCATGAGAAAGAGTGAAAGTCAAAGTTTCTCCATCGTCTCTGAATAGATCGTCCTCTTCTTTAATTGGATATTCTTCATTGGCATCGAATACACCTTCATTTAGCTTCCCAGAGTTCCCAATATATTCTTTATCTATTCTGTCTCCTGGGACAAGAATGTTTTGCATCTGAGCATCAATGGAAGACGAGCTTTCCGAATTCCAATTTTCTGACGGGTTTCTCTCATAGGTTTCCAGTTGCATTTGAATTGCAGGCTCCTCTATTTCCTTTCCAGCATTGATCACTTGGAACAGTTCACAGAAATCTTGGTTCCCCTGGCCGTTATTATCTTCAAAGGAAAAGGAAAAATAAAAATAGCAAGGTTAAGCAAAAGATCAAACTATAGGACATCGTATGAATTTCCTTCTGAATTTTGGCCAAATACCAATATATATAGTCCACTACTGACAGCACTTCATTTAGTGATCATTAACATTACAAATCTGAAAAAAAATGGATTTATTTCTGTTTTTTACAATTACAACCATAGCAGCACCTCTATGGTCACATGATCAAAATGGTTGGCAACTGGTTCATATTTATGACCAATATATTCATATTTAAACTACACTGGGTATGTCTAGTTTAATGAAAAGAAGGACTAGGAGAGACATGATAGCAGTTTTCCAATATCTCAGGGGCTGCCACAAAGAAGAGGGAGTCCAAAGCACCTGAGAGTAGAACAAGAAGCAATGGGTGGAAATTAATCAAGGAGAGAAGCAACTTAGAACTAAAGGAGAAATTTCCTGATAGTTAGAACAATTAATCAATGGAATAACTTGC